AGTCATTTTGAAGCAAGATAGCTACACTTCATGAATTGTCCTAAAGTTTATCCATATATTTTCTTTATAATTATCATGATCCGGCTAAAAAAAAAATAAAGTTCATTTATTTTTTCCATTTTGGTTATGAATTTGAAAGGCTTTACACCTTCAATTATCTTATATATATATATTGATAAAAAAGTGATAAATGTTGAAAATCTTATTTATTGACAATTCATTAAAAATTTTGATCAGCTTAATATCTTTTTTGGCTGGTGGACTTTATGATGACTTTCTAGGAAAACTTTAAATTAAAAAAGAAAAAAAAAAAAGAAAAAGAAAGAACAAATGGGATATTTCTTTTCTTTCAATTTGTAAAAACGATAGTTACTATATAAAAAGCTATCACTTAATAAGGCACGCTGAGCTTTGGTCATAACTTTAGTTATATTAGTCAAATAATAAATCTAATTTTTATTTTCAATAAGACATATAATTTAATAATATAATTTCAATAGAGTCAAACTTTCGGATCTTTTCATGAACATGACGATGAAAGAAAATGTCACACATCTACAGAACGAGAAAATATATCAATTCTTATATCGACATGAACAAGATAAAATAAGTAAAAAAAAACATTATTTGGTTTTAGATTGTTGAAACATAAAAATTATTTTTAGTTCAAATAATTTGGGAAAAGAGAGAAAAAAAGAAAGAAATAGAATTACCTTTCTACTTTGCTTAATAAACTTGAAGGGTCAATTATATGAATGGTCGTTGAACTTTGCCTTATGTTACTACTTAGTCACTGAACTTAAAAATGTAACTCAATGGTCACTGAATTTCGTCAAGTGTTACTAATTCATAATCGAACTTTAAAATGTATTTCAATGGTCACCGAACTTTGCACCGTGTTACCTATCCGTCACTCAAATGGGAAAATCCATTAAATCCAACAAACAGCGTCAACTTGATCATTAAGATATATTTTTAAATTGAATAATTAAGCTCTTGTTTGAGTCCTATTCTTTCAAAAAAAAAAAACAAAACATTCTTAAACAGTGATTTGACATCATTCAACCACTCATTTTTTAATAAAATAATATTACACGTAAATTTAAAATTTTTCTTTATTTTTTAACTACACATTTTTCATCAATATACTATTCAAAAATTCATTTTATTCCTCAAAATGGGGATTAAACAAAGGCTAAAATTCTCAAATCGACCCCTATACAAGAAGAAATCAAAGAAAATGAAGGGAAAAAAGAGGAAATAGAAAATCAGAGACCTATAAATTAAATAAAAATAAAATTGTTGCTAATATTCATCCATCATGGTGAAAAAGTACGTTTGATTTTTAGTTCAACTGATATCAGTTCAACGTATTTCAAACTCCGCATAAAATAGATTGAAAGAGAAATAGTTAGAACACTAAAAGAAATTGACAAAGAAAAATTAAATAAAAGTTCAAAAATGTTCGAATAATGCCAATGTAACTGAGGTCGATTTGATTTTTCAACTATGTTACTACTTAGTCACTGAACTTAAAAATGTAACTCAATGGTCACTGAATTTCGTTAAGTGTTACTACTTCATAACCGAATTTTAAAATGTATCTCAATGGTCATCGAACTTTGCACCGTGTTACCCATCTGTCACTCGAATTGACGTCGTTTGTTGGACTTAAATGATTTTTCCATTTGAGTGACGGATGGATAACACGGTGCAAAATTCGGTGACCATTGAGATATATTTTAAAGTTCGGTTATAAAGTAGTAACACTTGACGAAGTTCAGTGACCATTGAGTTGTATTTTTAAGTTTAGTGACTAAGTAGTAATATGGGGCAAAGTTCAGTGACCATTCATATAATTAACCCTAAACTTGAAAGACCCTTTCAACTCCATTTGTGATTAAAAAAAAAAATATTATAAATGTCTAAATTATCTCCAATCCGACAATAAGGTAATCCATTTTTCGGTCAACTTTTTCACTCTTGAGCACTTTTTG